GGGGACAGAAGATAGTAGCAGTGACGAGGAGGTAGGAAAGAGCGCGCTGCGGTAGACGCAACAAACAAAAGTAATGGTTCCCGTCCCGCGGCTTTGCTACGTGGCGAATTTGATGGGATAGTTGTGTTCGCCCCCATCAGGCGTTGCCACGTGGCGAGTAGAGTTGAGATTGTAGATCTTCGGCCCGCGCGGCACTGCCACGTGCTGGGTAGAGTGCAGATATAGTTCCTGTTCCCCCCCATGTGGTTGCCACGTGGCGAGTGGAGTCGGATAGTTATTGTATTCGTTTCCGAGGCCTTGCCATGTAGAGTTGCCATGTGGCGAGCAGTGGCATTGCATGTAATGCCGTTTCGCTGCGCTGCCACGTGCCAGGTAGACTGTAGTAAGCTCGCTTCTTGGCGCTGCCACGTGGCCAATGCGTCGGAGCAGCATGCGTGCCCCCCCATCCGAGCGTTGCCGCGTGGCGAGGGGGGCGGAGCAGCACCCGCTTCGCTCCCCAGGCGTCGCCACCTGGCCAGTCGAGTGCACTGCTAGCCGTTCCGCCCCGCAGGCGCTGCCACGTGGCGAGTCGTGGAGTCGCACAGTTTCTCTTCCGCTCCCCATTCGCTTCCGCCTGGCAGCTCGAACGGGGTAGTGCTGTTGTCCGCCGCGCAGGCGTTGCAACGTCGCGAGGAGAGTGGATTGACATTTCGTTCTGCCCCAGGGATTTGCCACGTGGAGAGTAAATTGGAGTAGATGTAATTTCCGCCTCGCAAGCTTTGCCGCGCGCCGAGTAGTGGGACGAAGGAAAAAGGAGGAGGAGGAGGAAGGACCGAGGAGGGAAGGGGGGAATGGAGGAGATTGGGAGGAGGGAACAGGAGTAGGATGAGCAAGGAGGGAGCAATGAGGGAGAAGGAGGAGGCAGGGCCGGAGAAACAATGGGGGAACAGGAAGAAGAGGAGGAGGAGGAGGAGGGAGCGATGAGGGACGAGGAGGAGGAGGAGGCAGGTGGGGGGAGGGAGAAAATGGGTGAGGAGGCAGGAGCAGGAAGGAGGAGGGATAATAGGGGAGGGAGGCGAGGAGGGTGGTAAACATCAGCTGGGTAAAACACATGATGGACCGAGGTATAATTCAGCGTACATCAGTGTGGTACACGAGACATGACCGCTGACGGCCATGCCACGGGGCGTATCGATCGCGCGTTACTGCTGCAAGTGATGGATGATCGCCGTCGTCGTCGTCGTTGTCGTCGCCGTCAGCGTCGTCATCGCAGCCGGCGTCGTCGTCGTCGCCGTCGTCGTCGTCGTCGTCGACGTCGTCGACGTTGTTATCATCGTCGTCACCGTCGGCGTCGTCGTTGTGGCGGTCGTCGTCGCCGTGCTCGTCATCGTCGTCGTGTTCGTTGTCGTCGTCTCCAGCGCCGTCGTTGGTGTTGTCGCCGCCGCCGCCGTCGCCGTTATCGTCGTCGTCGTCTTTGTCGTTGCCGTCGCCGTCGTCGCCGTCGTCGTCGTCGTTGGCGTCGTCGCGTCGCCGTCGTCGCCCTCATCGTCGTCGTCGTCGTCACGGCCGTCGCCGCCTTGGTGGTCGCCGCCCTCATCATCGTCGTCGTGGTGGTCACCGTGGTCGTCGTCGTCGGCGTCGTCGCCGTCGTCGTCGTCGTCATTGTCGTCGTCTCCGTCGTCGTCGTCGTCGCTTTCGTCGCCGCCGTCGTTGCCGTTGTCGTCGTCGTCGCCGTCGTCGCCAGCGTCCTCGTGCTTGTCGTCGCCGTCGTCGTGTTCGCCGCCGTCGTCGTCGTCGCCTTTGTCGTTTTCGCCTTCGCTGTCGTCGCCATCGTCGTCGCCGTCGTCGCCGTCTTCGTCGTCGCTATCGTCGTTGCCGTCGCCGTCGTCGTCGCCGTCGTCGTGTTCGCCGCCGTCGTCGTCGTCGTCGCCATCGTCGTGGTGTTCGTCGTCGTCGCCGTCGTGCTTGTCGTCTTTGTCGTCGTCGCCGTCGTTGAAATCGTCGTCATCGTCGTCGCCGTCGTCGTTGTCGCCGTCGTCATCGTCGTTGTCGTCGCTGTCGTCGTCGCCATCCTCTTTCGTCGTGCTTGTCTTTGTCGTCGCCGTCGTCTTCGTCGCCGTCGTCGACGTCACTGTCGTCGTCGTCATAATTTTCGCCGCCGCCGTCGTCGTCGTCGTCGTCGTCGTCGTCGTCTTCGTCGCCGCCGCCGCCGTTGTCGTCGTCGTCATCTTCGTCGTCGTGCTCGCCTTTGTCGTCGTTGTCGCCTTGTCGTCGTCGCCGTCGCAGTCGTCGTCGTCGTGTTCGCCGTCGTCGTCGACGACGCCGTCGTGCTCGTCTGCGTCGTCGTCATTTTTGCCGTCGTCTTCGTCGCCGTCGCCGCCGTCGTCGTCGTCGTCGTCGTCGTCATCATCTTCATCGTCGTCGTCACCGTCGTCGTTTGAATCGTCGTCCTCGTCGGCGCTCCCCGCCGCCGCCGTCAGCCGGCGCCCGCGCCAGTGCCAGTGGGGAGGGTGGTTCGAACCCCCTTCCATTCTGAATCGGGGGGGGGGCTCGGTTGCGGCCCTCCCTCTGCAAGCGCCCACAGAACGCACCCTTTCATTTGCGTGCACATACATATATCTAATTATGAAATCAACTAGATATATACATATACGTATGTATCTATATATATATATATGTATATTTATGTATATATATATATTTCACCACGTGAATTGCAAAGCACATGTTGCATCACATACAATGCACAGCCGATGTTGCATCGTATAGATTCTCCATTCTAAGAACGTATAGGGATATCCCGCCCGCTGGGTTAATGGTACACCTTGTCGTAGTGCAAGTTGCATATGATTCTGCCCCATAGTACATCTTAAATTTGATCCCATACCATCCCAGGCCTGCCGGTTTCGCCCTGTCATCCTCCGAGAAAAAAGCTACGCGCGCGCATTCGCTTATCAATCATCCTCAGTGTTCAAGAACTCCTTACAAACAAGTGGGACGAAGTGCACACGAGCGTGCCGTCGCGCGCGCATGGCGAAATTCTCCCAAAACAAATGATTTCGTAAGGAATTAAACAACGAGTGTACCTAAAACAAAGAAACATAGTTTCGCAACAATGGCGTTCAAGAAAAACCTGCACCCGCGCTCCTGCGAAGCCTTGGGCAAACCATTGTTTGTTTATGTTGTTCAGAAAGTGCTACCAAAATGGCCCTTCGCGCGCGTGCCGAAGTTGCTCGAACGCCCTTACGTGCGTGTTGTCGCAATAACCCCTAGCAGAAGATGGGGACGATGTGCGCACGCGCGAGGTTTCAAAAGAGCCTGCGCTCGCGGCCTTGCGGACCTTCAACAAACCCATAGGTTTTTCAACAACGACATCAAATTATGCGAAACGGGCCTCCCGCGCCGCTTGCCGAACACATTCGAAGGCCCTTTCGTGCGTGCTGTAGGGGGGCACAATCCGCGCCAAATAATCGAATAATGCCACGCGGGCCGTTTGCGCGCGTCGGCCGCGCGCGCATGTCGAACTCCTTCAAAACCTTCATCGCCGACGGGAGGACATCGTCAACGTTATCGGCGGGCGTTACTAACATCGGCGCCGTAATTGGCCTTGCCGTCGTCATCGCCGCCATCGCCACCATCATCGCTACTCCCATAATCGCGTCTACCGTTGCCGGCGTCGCCATGATACAGCGCCCGCCCAAGTCACAGACTCGCAATGAAGTGCCCGCTGCGGGGTGCCCAGCGGTCAGCGCCACCGCGGCCGCGCCGGTCGCGCCTAACTAGCTGGCCGCTGTGCGCGCGAGCGTGCGCGGACTAGCTCCGTCGCATGGGTTTTGCAAACCAAGTTGCGGGTCGGTGGGTGGGATGTTTGCAAGAGCGTGGCATGTGCCAACTCGTTCGTGCAAATCAACTGCACCACATAAATGTCACGATATATATATATATATAGATATATATATATCTATATATATATATATATATCGCACAACATAGACTTGCACCACGTAGGTTGCACAACATTCATTGTTAAGGGCCGAGTATTTGGGGTCCCTGCAAGTTTTCATGTAGATACGCATATGTGAAACATATCTGTTTTTAAAAATATGTTTCTCTCTTTCCCTCTTCCCTTTTTTGTTTTCTCTCTCTCTCTCTCTCTTTCTGTCTCGCTCTATCTCTCTCCATATGTGTATAATGTGTCCGTCCTTCTCACTATCTCTCTCGTTCCTTGTGCCTTCCCCATTTGGTTCCCAGCCTCGGCAGGCTCGTTTAGCTTCGTGTCGGCGCAGGGATCATCCAGGGCAGCCAAAGGAGTGTGGAGGAGGGGAGGAGGGCGAGGACGAGGACCCAGACCTCCAGTGCGCTGCTGTCGCTGCCACCGCCGTCGTCGTGTGTGTCGTCGCCTGTCGCCATCCTCAGACCCGACGTCGTGGGCTTTCGCAACGTGCCCCTCCAGAGGTCCAGGCCCCTTCCCCATGACGGGCTGTTCACCCCCACTGTGTGCTTTGCAGTCCCTGGACCCTGCGAGGGACCCCAAGAGGTCGCAAACACGTCCAGGAGCGGTCCCCCCCGCGATTCCTTCACGACGCGACGGGGCCCGGTGCCACCGCCGTCCGTTGCCTTTGGCTGCCATCGGCGGCCACTCGCCCGCCCTTCGGCGGCGGCATCTGCACCCCCCCCCGGCATCCCTCGGACGTGTGCGTTCTTTTCGGCGAGGGCCATCGATCAGCATCGTTCAACCGACCCCCATCCCCATCCTCATCCCCTTCGAGACCCCCACCAGGTTCCCACCCCAGCTGGGGATACACCCCTCGAGACCCGAAGGGAACGGCCTATATCCCCACCGAGGGGGTAAATCGGCCAGCGGGGCCCAGGCCTCGCCGCTGGGGATGGGGGTCGGATAAACGACGCTCAATCGAGGCGCACATGGACTCATTAAGAACAAGTGCACGACATCGACAACTGAACTGGGAATGCACGCCCGAGCGATTGCGAGCCACATGGCGAGCCCCCCTCGAGACGAGGAGCTGGAGGCGGGCGCGGCCAGTCTCGAGGAGCAGCTCGAGCACACCCGGGAGCAGTGCCAGGCCAGCCAAGGGGGTCGGCTCGGCCGTAGACTGCCCGCCTTGCTGCACGCTTGGATCCAGGCCTCCCAGATGGAGTCGGAGCAGATGGGGGTCGGAGGCTGGCGCCGCATCGCCGATTAATCGGCGATGCGGCTCGGTGTGGAGCCCCATTTGCTTCACGCCAGCGTCGCTGATGAATTGCCGACGTCCACGATGCAACGCCGGTACATCGCTGATGCATCGCCGATGCATCGCCGATGTATCGGCGATGCGGCGTCATCCACCGCCTCCATCTACTCCGACCCCATCTAGGAGGCCTCTCTTGGAACGGTGTGGAAAGAGTGGGGACACAGGCCCACCCAGGTCTCCGATGATCATTTGCTTTGTGACGATAGGTTCATGCGGTGTTGGCGCGCTGGCAGCGTCGGCGAAGACGTTCAAGGTTGAATTCTGCGACGCGGAAGCACCGATGGACACGGCATCGTCATGGGACCCGACCGCATTCAGTTTCGAAGGGGATCGGGGCCGCGATTGCTGCAAGGTTGAACGGTCGACGTTGTGCCAATTTTTTTTGCGGGCGCCGACGTCGCACGAACCTACCGCACTCAGGTACTCCAGATTTCGTAATAAAAGAGAGGGGGTCTGGACCCTCCAAGACAAGCCATTTCAGACCCCCCCTATGGAAGAACCCTCCAAAACATCGTCCCCAGACCCCCCCAGGCCCTCCAAGATAGCCTGGAAGAGACCCCCCCCGAAATGAGACCCCCCTCCCTTTATTGTGGAATCCGGAGTATCCGACGAGCAGATGCTTTAAGCCCGTGTGTTCTCCTAGATGTTTGTCTCCGAGGCCCGCTCTGGGGCCCCTGGGGCCAGCAAGCGTGGAGCCAGGACGGGGAGTTGCCCGGACGTGGGCAGCACCTGTTGTTGTGAGTTGTATCCGGCTGCCTGCGGCAAGTCCCGCCACCGTGCCAGCCCAGCATTCTGGGTGGCGATTGTTCGAGGGAACGCGGGAGGCCGTCACGTGTGACACCTCGTGTCTCCAGGCTTAGGAGAGCCGTGATCAGGATTATGAGGATGTTGATGCTGATGCTGATGCTGTTGATGATGATGATGATGATGATGATGATGATGATGATGATGATGATGATGATGATGATGATGATGGTGATGGTGATGATGATGATGGTGGTGATGATGATGGTGGTGATGGCGATGATGATTAGGAGGACGATGAGGATGAGGGAGGATGAGGAGGATGAGGGGGAGGAGGATATTGATGATGATTATGATGATTATGATTATGATGATCATGATGCTGGTGGTGATGATCGATGGTGATGACGATGATGGTGATGATGCTGGTGCTAATGACGATGATACCTGATGGCTGATTGTGGTGATGATGATGATGCTGGTGATGATGATGATGATGATGATGATGATGATGATGATGATGATGATGGTGAGGACGAGGATGAGGATGAGGATCAGTGTGATGATGAGGAGGATGAGAACGAGGAGGACCGTGACGCTGCTGCTGCAGACGATGGTGATGATGCTGCTGATGTCGATGATGATCATGATCATGATGTGGATGCTCATCATCATCATCATCATCATCATGCTGATTAGGATGATTATGATGATGCTGCTGATGCTGATGTTAATGCTGATGATGCTGATGCTGATGCTGATGCTGATGCTGATGCTGCTGATGCTGCTGATGATGATGATGATGATGGTGATGATGATGATGATGATGATGATGATGATGATGATGATGATGATGATGATGAACTCGTTTGAACCGTCTTGGAGCTGTCTTAGCCTTCTGTGAGGCAGTCTCCGGGGTCCCTTGGGGCCATCTTGGACCATCTTGGGGCCCTCGTACGCTGGCTTGGGGTTCTCTTGAGCCGTTTTAGGCCGTTTAAGGGCCTTCTAGGGCCGTCTTGGGTCCCACGGGAGGTTCTCTTGGGCCGTCTTGGGGCCGTCTTGGTCGCCTTCCATCGTCGAGTCCTCGTGCGTCGTCTTGCGCTGACGGCAGCCCGAAGAGGCGAGAGACTGCGAAAAACATGCAACAACCTGAAGGGAAACAATGGTGAGGGCTTCTTAGGATCCTGTTGGAGGTCCTCGTGTGGCCCTTTTGGGCCCTCTTGGAGGCATCTTGGGCAGTCTTGGGGAGTTTCGGCCCCCTTGGGGCCATCTTGGGCCGTCTTCGAGAGGCATCTTGGGCTATCTTGGTGATCTTGGTTGCTTGCACAGGCCGTCTTGGCAGTTCGGAACGCACATCCACCGTTTGTCACAGGGGATCGTGGCTTGGGAGGCCCTGGAGCGCTTGGTCTGGCGCGTTTCGCCTGAGACATCCCTAGTTTCCAAGATGTGGTTCGCGAGGTACTCATGCGTATTTCGCCTGAGACATGCTCGGAACCCCAGGCTACTGCGAGATGCCCTGAATTGAGGTGTTGTGGCTCGTTTCGCTTGAGACGTTCTCACCACTCTGGGTTCCAAACCGTGGTCCGCGATGTGCTCAGGCCCGTTTCGCCTGAGACATCCTCGGAATCCCTGGCCCCCTGGCCCCGAGAGACCATGGCTTGAGGTGACCCGGGTGTGAATGCGCCACGCTTGAAGGCAACACTGACGGAGCTGTTGCTGGGGTTGTCCCCAGTGCCAGGAGAAGCTTGGGACCAATAGAAAGTGACAGAAGAAACGAGAAGTCGCCATATCATAGTATTTAGTTAGAAGAATATGTTATGAGGGTGTCTTGGGAAAGGCGGCCGCGTGTGTCATCACGCCCGCAACCGATTGTGGTCAAGTTGTTACGGGCGCGAGCGCTGGACGACAGCATCCCCCGACTCTCATGACCTGGCCGATTGGGGGACGGTGCGCTGATTGGATCATCGGGACCGTCTTTCAGACCAGCGCGGGCTGGTCAACGAAGTGTCCTGCGTGCCCTGCCTGCCCGCAGTGCCCAGCCTGTCCTCAGGTCACCCTGTTCATGTGCATCCGCCTGCGGCCTGCCCGCCCGCACCTGTCAGCTCAGGGCCGGCGCCTGCGCCCACCGCGACCAGCGTCGGATCGGACGGGAACGGTTGGGGCTCAGGTTGGCTCGCCTTCCTGCTCCTGGTGGTGAACGTGCTCAGCTTGGCCAGCAACTAAGTGCAGTGCTCCGTCGTGATCGTCTCTCGGATCCGTCCTGGCCGCAGTCCAGCAGCCTTGAAGGATGGCTCAGGACCCGACCCCAGTGGGGCTCTGGCTGTGGGCCTGGTGCTGTATGCAGGCGCGCCGCGGTGGCATGAGCGGTGCGCGTGGGGCCGAGTGCTTCAGAACCTGACTGATACGAGGTGGTCCTAACACCGAGTGGTGATCTCGTCACCCGACGGTGATGTGTACGAGGAGGTGTATGACCTGCCTGATGGGAGTTGGTCGGCGGTCCGCTTCGAGGGTGACCGCCGCACGCGGCCCCCAGGCCTGGACGTTGGCAACCTGTGTCGCTTCCGCAGGGCACTGACGGCGTCCGAGTAGGTGGCGCTCCTGATCGAGCTGCAGGGCTACGCTCGTGACGTCTACCTGGCGGCAGTGCGAGCTCCTGGGCGTCCACCTGTGGTGCCGCGTGCTGGGGCGATGGTGTACTTCACGTGCGGGGGTCCCGCGGGCGCCGCTGTCGCGCCCGCACCTGGGGGAGGCGCCTCACCGGCCCCCGTTACTGGGGCTGCCTTGGCGGCGCATTGGTGGCGGCGGCCGCCCCCAGGCCTCCTGGACTTGTGACGCCCGTCCCCGCTGCTCCCGTCGCGCCCGCAGCGATGGTGGCCGCGCCGCTCGCGGGCGCCACGGGCGCGGCGGTACCGCTGGCTGCGGGGGTCAGGCCTGGGCCTGCTGGACAATGGGTGCACGTCGAGTCGACCACCGTCGTTTCCGTCAAGCATTTCCACCCGTTTGTCTCGTACTATTGGCTGTCTTGCGAGGACTTCGGCGTCACGCGCTATGAGTCGATCGTGCGGGTGGTGGATTAGATGATGACGTGGGATCTCCTTGAACTGCCTAGCGTAGCCTTGCCTGCCTGAGCCTGGCGCAGCTGAGTGAGCACATGTACACCATGGAGTATGAAGCCCGGGGCGCCGTAGGTGGACTCGCCACCGCCGGCGACGCCGATCCCATGGCTACGGCCAAGGGCAAGCCCTAGTCTCGCGGCAACGTTGGCCTCTTGATGTTCGGGTTCGTTGACGAGGTCGGCGTCATCGCAGGCACCGCCCTCGATGATGGCCGCATGATTGTCGCTCCCACGCTGCGCGAGTACGCGGTCAACCAAGTAGAGCGTGACGCTAGGATCCTTATCCAGACTAGCGAAGCTAAGGAGGAGCGTCGCGCTCGGGTGCCATGGCGGATGGGGCCCCAGAGGCGGTCACCCCGCCAGCCTTCGCGAACGATCGAGGGGGCTCCGCGGCTTCGTCTTCCCACTGAGCATATATACTTAAGGCCAGATCTCATCCTCCTCGGCGGCATCAGGATGTCTTTCCGCTTCCTGTCCCTGGCGACGTGGATCACTCTTCTGCGACTTCAGACCTTCCTTGAACATCGAGGAGGCGGCCCCGGCGAGCCAGCCACCGCCAAAAGATGGGCCCGACGTAATCAGAGCCATGCGCGAGATGTATACTGGCTCGAGCTGTCTGCGACCGACGGGATTGTTCTCTCCTGCGGCCGCTCAGCAGGAGGCTATGGCGGCGATCCAGGAGGCGACGCCTTCGGAGTGCCCCTGCCTTGCCTCTCGCCCGCAGGGGCCCTCGAGGAGCTCCGCGTCGCGCAGTCATGCGACTAGGAGTCTGCCGTGATTGCGCCAGTGGCCTTCGACCGAGTCGCTCTGACCTCCCTGCCGAGCGCGGGCCCCAAGCCGATGTCCCTGTCCGCGTTGATCGGGGGCGACAGCGCGAGCATCGGCCACCGTCTTCAGGAACGACCTCTGCCCCGCGAGCGGGGTCTCGCCTGGTTTGCAGAGCGCGCTCCGAAGCGGGCGCATTCGAACCCCC